AGTGAAGCATGGTTGCGCAAGCATCATGATATGGGGATGTTTCTCATACTACGGTGTTGGGCCTATTTATCGCATACCAGGGATCATGGATCGGTTTGAATACATCAGAATACTTGAAGAGGTCATGCTGCCTTATGCTGAAGAGGAAATGCCCTTGAAATGGGTGTTCCAACAAGACAACGACCCCAAACACTCCAGTAAACGTGCAACATCTTGGTTCCAGACCAACAAGATTGACGTTATGGAGTGGCCAGCCGAATCCCCGGATCTTAATCCAATAGAAAACTTGTGGGGTGACATCAAAAATGCAGTTTCTGAGGCAAAACCAAGAAATATAGAAGAACTGTGGAATGTAGTTCAATCATCCTGGGCTGGAATACCTGTTCACAGGTGCCAGAAGTTGGTTGACTCCATGCAACACAGATGTACAGCAGTTCTCAGAGACAGTGCTTATACAACTAAATATTCATTAAGTGATTCAAAGGAAAGCAAAATCTTCAAACATTTTTTCAGTATATAGAGTGAATGTTTGAGTTTGTAAAGAAGAATACAAACACTGCTTTTTTTTGAACAGTCTAATATTCACTTTTCTTCAATTTTTTTTAGAGGACTGGTGCCCTGTGCTTTTCACAGATGAGAGCAGGATCACCCTGAGCATGTGACAGACGTGAAAGGGTCTAGAGAAGCCGTGGAGAACATTATGCTGCCTGTAACATCATTCAGCATGACCGTTTTGGTGGTGGGTCAGTGATGGTCTGGTGAGGCATATCCATGTAGGGATGCACAGACCTCTACAGGCTAGACATTTAGGTATCGGGATGAAATCCTTGGACCCATTGCCAGACCCTATGCTGGTGCAGTGGGTCCTGGGTTTCTCCTGGTGTACGACAATGCCCGGCCTCATGTGGCGAGAGTATGCAAGCAGTTCCTGGAGGATGAAGGAATTGATACCACTGAATGGCCCCCACACTCGACTGACCTAAATCCAGTAGAACACCTCTGGGATATCATGTTTAAGTCCATCTGACGCTGTCAGGTTGCACCTCAGACTGTCAGTGATGCCCTGGTCCAGATCTGGGAGGAAATACCCCAGGACAACATCCGTCGTCTCATTAGGAGCATGCCCAGACATTGTCAGGCATGCATACAAGCATGCGGGGGCCATACAAACTACTGAGTACCATTTTGAGTTGCTGCAAATGAAATTTCAGCACAATGGATTAGCCTGCTGCATCATTTTTTAATTAGATTTTCGGGGTGTCTTTAACCATTTGATGCCCGGCCTATGGCCAAATGGCGTCCGTAAAAATGTATTAGCTTTCCGGGAGGCCGCCATATGGTGTCCTCGCGCACATGCGCAGTTCGCGCGCTTGCAGAGCCACGCAGCAGCGCGATCTGTCACCGGCCGTGTACCTTGGACACGGCTGATGACAGATCTGAGTACCGGCCCCCCGTTGCGGGTTCCATGTGACCTGCTGTGACCAATCACAGCAGGTCACATGACAGTTGTATACAATGGATGGCTTCATTCATGCCATCCATTGTATACTAGTGTCTAGCTGTGAATGGTCACAGCTAATCACATGCACATGTCATGTGATTAGCCGTGGCCAAATCACAGCTAAGCACAAAAAAAAAAACCCTGAATGAATCGATGTCATTCAGGTAAATACTTGCTTATAGCAAAGTAATTCTTTGCTATAAGCAAATTGTGTAAAAAAAAAAAAAAAAAATACTGATCACTTTCCCAAAGTAGTACAATGTTACTATGGTAACATTGTACTACTTTGGACATAGTGAAATATGAAAAAAAAATCTTAAAAAAAAGAAAACAAATTTAATAAAAAAATTAAAATGAAAAAAAAAATATATATATATTTTTTTTTTTTCACACTGTCACCAGTCAGTGTCCCTGATCACCGCCATGCCAGTTATATGATGACGCTGTACTGCACTGGTGACAGTATGTATAAAAAAAAAAATTGTGAAAATAATTTGTTTTATTTTTTCATTTTCCGAAAAATTATGACAAAAAAAATACAACTTCAAAAAACTCGCCATGACACTTATGAAGTACGTCGGACTGTCTACTTTGCAAAAAGTGGTCATTTGGGGGATATCTGTACTATTCTGACATTCTTGGACCTCAAGAAATTAGATTGGCTGTCAGTACTTCAGGATTGATCAATATTCAGATCTATACCATAGTTTGTGAACTCTATAACTTTCCTACAAACTAAAAAATACATCCTAATTTGGGTTATTTTCACCAAAGACATGTAGTAGAATACATCTCGGCCTAAATTTATGAAGAACAATTATTTATTTGCAAACTTTTATAACAGAAACAAAGAAAAACATGTTTTTTTTTCAAAATTGTCGGCCTTTTTTGTAATTTAGCAAAAAATAAAAACCCAGCGATGATTAAATACCACCAAAAGAAAGCTCTAGTTGTGTGAAGAAAATGATAAAATTTTAGTTTGGGTACAGTGTTATGACTGCGCAATTGTCATTCAAAGTGTGAGAGCGCTGAAACATAAAAAATAGCCTGGGCAGGAAGGTGTAAAATTGCCCGGTATTGATTTGGTTAAATTCAGTCCTCTGTAGGTTGATAATTTCTATCAAATGATGGGGCATCCCTATGTTTCCTAACACATTACCCAGTCCATATCAGTATAGATATCCAGCATGAGATTTTTCCCAGTTGAGATCTGATGTGTTTTCAAAGTGTTCCTTTAATTTTTTTGAGCAGTTTATATACAATAGATTGTAGACTATAACTTTCCTACAGACTAAATAATAAACACTAATTTGGGTTATTTTTACCAGAGAAATGTAGCTGAATACATTTTGGTCTAAATTTATGAAAATTATATATTTGAAAAATTTTATAACAGAAACAAAGAAAAATGTGTTATTTTTCAAAGTTTATGGTCTCTGTTTATTTAGCAAAAAATTAAAAAAAAACCCAGTGGTGATTAAATACCACCAAAAGAAACCTCTGCTATGTAAAACAAAATGATACAAATTTCATTTGGGTACAGTTTTGCGTGACCACGCAATTGTCACTCAAAGTGCGACAGCTCTGAAACAACTGGCCTAGGCAGCAGGAAGGGGGAGAAAGTGCCTGGTATTAAAATGATTGAAGTGTTACTAAACCCAGGACCCTGCATTCACTATATCTGGTCTCCCACAGTACACAGAATATGGAAATGCAAATTTTTTTGTTAATATAAGCTGCTAAATACCTTTTTTCATCAGCAGTTAGAGCAGTCTTGTGACTTCTATCAGTGTCCAGCAGAATATTGGTTAAAGCTTGGAGGAGGAGTTTTCTTTCTGCTCTAGGAGGATGCAGAAACCCTGACCTGTCTGGAACGTGCTGATTGGACCTGTGCTGATCACATGCACTTTCCCAAGAAAAAAAAAACCTCCCTGGCAATACACACCAAATTGAGCATGTGCAGTGTCTCCACACAGTATGTCTTATCAGGAGATAAGAGGAGACAATGGAAGAAAGAGAGGATCAGAGAAGACAGGATCAAACAGCATTTTTACACAATACACAGGATTAACCCCTTAGGTTCCACAGTGAATATAATGAGCATGCTTTACTGCATATACAGACTGATTTTACTATTTTAGGTTTAGTAACACTTTAAACCATGTGTAAAAAAAACAATTTGTGTATGCCCATGTGATGACTGGCATTAATCAAATCCAGAAAAGCACAGGTCAACACATGTGAATGTACAGTGGATATAAAAAGTTTATACACCCCTTAAAATGTCAGGTTTCTGTGATGTAAAAAAATGAGACAAAGATAAATCTTTTCAGAACATTTTGCACCTTTAATGTGACCTATAAACTGTACAACTCAATTGACAAACAAACTGAAATCTTTTAGGGAGAGGAGTTAACATAAAAAACTAAAATAATGTGGTTGCATAAGTGTGCACACCCTCTTATAACTGGGGATGTAGCTGTGTTCAGCATTAAGCAATCACATTCAAAATCATGTTAAATTGGAGTCAGTACACACCTGCCATCATTTAAAGTGCCTCTGATTAACCCCAAATACAGTTCAGCTGTTCTAGTAGGTCTTTCCTGACATTTTCTTAGTCACATCCTACAGCAAAAGCCATGGTCCGCAAAGAGATTCTCGTTGTCAAAAGCTAGAGCCCAGACCTGAATCCGATGGAAAATCTATGGGGGTGATCTGAAGAGGGCTGTGCACAGGAAATGCCCTCACAATCTGACAGATTTGGAGTGTTTTTGCAAGGAAGAGTGGGCAAATATTGCCAAGACAAGATGTGCCATGCTGATAGACTCATACCCAAAAAGACTGAGTGCTGGAATCAAATCAAAAGGTGCTTCAACAAAGTATTAGTGTAAGGGTGTGCACACTTATGCAACCATATTATTTTAGTTTTTTATTTTTACTCCCCTCCACCTAAAATATATCAGTTTGTTTTTCAATTGAGTTGAACAATTTATAGGTCACATTAAAGGTGGAAAAAGTTCTGAAATGATCTTTGTCTAATTTATTTACATCACAGAAACCTGACATCGTAACAGAGGTGTGTAAACTTTTTATAGCCACTGAATGTAGACAGACTTTGTACTAAATATGGTCAGGTCTCAAAACCAGAGCCACTCCCTGGGACAAATCTTCACACCAGATGACACCGACATGTAGTACAGATCTTGCGTGCTCTGTGTCTTCAGCAGCAGATTAAAAGATTCTTCTTCTTTTAAACATTCCTTTACATTAGCAGTCATACTGCCGGTTTAGCTGCCTCTCTCTACGTCCCAGCACACATACACACCAGTCCCTCAGTGTCCTATGTTCGCAGCGAGTGCACTTCCTGTCTGTGTTTCCACACGGACGTTGTACAGTGTGACACCTGAGAGTTCCAGTTCCTGCTCCTAGGTCAGCCTCTTCCGGGTATGCAGCTATCACTCCTCCCTTTCCCCTGCCAGTCTCTCTCCTCCTCTAGGTCATGGCTGCTTCTATGTACTGTCTGCGTACAGGTCAGTGAACACCTCTGTAGCAGCAAGGCACATCTTGTCACAGTGCAGGGCAGCAGTTGCTCTATACAGACACATATAGGGACCATTGCCTTCACCATGCATCACTGTCATCTGTATATTCTCATAGGAGATCTACCTGGGGGGGGTGCCATTACTAACCCTCTGGCTTCAGTCTTCTGATTTGGAACAACAAATGAGATTCGAATTTCTTGTCCCAGGTCAGTGAAGCTGGATCCATACAACTTCTGCTGCTATGTTAAGCAAATAACCACTTGCCTACTGGGCAGTTTTACCCCCTTCCTGCCCAGGCCAGCTTTCAGCGCTGCCGCACTTTGACAATTGCGCAGTCATGCATCACTGCACCAATAGGAAATTTCTATCATTTTAATACACAAATAGAGCTTTCTTTTTGGTGGTATTTAATCACCACTGGGTGTTTTTCTTTGCTAAACAAATGGCAGCACAGTGGCTAAATGGCTAGCACTTCTGCCTCACAGTACTAGGGTTGTTGGGTCGAATCTCAGCCACGGAACCTCCTGCCTGGAGTTTGCATGTTCTCCCTGTGCCTGCGTGGGTTTTCTCCGGGCGCTCCAGTTTCCTGCCACACTACAAAGACATGCTGGTAGGTTAATTGGATCCTGTCTAAATTGGCCCTAGTATGTGTATGAATGTAAGTTAGGGACTTTAGATTGTACACCCCTTGAGGGTTAGGGACTGATGTGAATATATATGTAAAGCGCTGCGTAAATTGATGGCGCTATAAAAGTACCTGAAATAAATAATAAAATGAAAAAAGACCCACATTTTTGATAAAAAAAAAAACACATTTCTTTGTTTCTATTATAAAATTTTGCAAACAGCTAATTTTTCTCCTTCACTGATGGGCATTGACTGGCAGCACTGATGGACCCTGATTGGCATTGATAGGAAGCACTGATGGGCACTGTTGGGGCTGCACTAATAATCAGGCCACTGATAATCAGTGCCCTGATTAGCAGCATAGATGTCCCCTTTCACACTTGCCAGTTATAGGCAGTATTTTCCTGTGATAGTGTGAGGAAAGTACTGCAAATATCCGGCAAGACCTCGGTCATACTGGATGCGAATTTGCATGCCATGCGACTTGCAAATCGCATGCCAAGTTGCAGCCTATTGTCCGCAATTAGAATAGTCATATCAGACTTGGTCAGAGCTGCATCGATTTCTAAAGTAGTACATGCGCTACTTTTGGTGCGATTTGCATTAACATCTGTATCATATGTCTTGCAAATCGCACCTGAAAATGGCATGTCATCCGACTTTGAAATCGTGCGACTTCACTGTACGGTTTTATGTGACCGGGGGTGTAAATTGTAATCAGCTGTGATTGGACACAGCTGATCATGTGGTAAAGGGCTGTCAATAGACATCCTCTCAGAACATGATGACTGAGCTGTAGCCGTCATTTGGCTTTAGCGCAGACAGCATGTGGTTAAGCAAGGAAAGAAAATTGCTTTATTGCCCCATCCTCGCATTTAGTCTAGGTCAGTGTTTCTCAACTCCAGTCCTCATGGACCCCCAACAGGTCATGTTTTCAGGATTTCCCTCAGATGAAACAGCTGTGGTAATTACTAAGGCAGTGAAGCTGATCAAATCACCTGTGCACAATAATGGAAATCCTGAAAACATGACCTGTTGGGGGTCCATGAGGACTGGAGTTGAGAAACACTGGTCTAGGTTCACACTTGTGCAGTGTGGGACACCACATGTGATTCGCAGAGGAATCGCATTGCATTCCTGTGCACATCACATGCGATGTCTGTATTTTGTATGGCTCAAATCACATTGCACCCACACCAAAATAGTGCAAGACCCTTTTTTTATTCCCGACACCTGATTGGTGTTCACACCCATACAAATTAAATTCTGGCAATCGCACTGCATATTGTGATCTGTTTCAGGTTTTCGTTAATTTAACATTGACACCTCCAGCAGATTGCATGGATGCCGTGCGATTGCAATACTCTGCAGGAAACTCACATCCCGCATCATATTAGTGTGAACCAGGTCTCAGTGTTGACGGGGGAATCCTTACCGGGAAGCTTTTTTTATTCTGATAGTAGGAGGTTTCCGATCCATCAGAATATAATTATTACTGCCGGCTGCTATAGCCGCTGGCTGGCAGTGATCGAACATACAAAAAAAAAAAAAACCCAACAGGCTGGTTGTACTGAAGTCGATTGCTGGAACCGCTGAACCGGATTAATTTTGACCAGTCTATGGCTGGCTTAAAGCATAAGTTCACCTTTTGACCAAAAATAATAAATGCACATTTTTTTTGCAGGTAAAAAAATGTGCATTTATTATTTTTGGATGCAAGAGCCTGTAAAGCATTACACCAGAGATCAGCAGATTCAATGCCATGCAGGTCTCCTGCCAGTATGGGCAAGCAAATATACTGACAGGATGATTCAATGAACTACCACAACGCAGCAGTAGTTAATTGAGAACTATTTGCCAGCAGCATGTGAATGAATGATGTGGCCATGTGGGTGGAGCCCCGCACGGCCACGCTATTTTTAAAAAGTGCCAGCTAATGTGGGGATCTCTTCTCCCCGTATTCCTATCACAGGGAAGGGGGCGAGCAGGCAGCCGCCGCAGCATTGGAAACATATTACGTGTTGCACCCTTAAAATGGGTGGAACATGTAACATGTTCCCAAAGGTGAACTTATCCTTTAACGCATTATATTGCTTTATTTGCCTTTTTTAACACAATGTATTGATCCGTGGGTGTTTTTGTTCACAGCAAGAGACAAAATATTATTTTCTTTTTCTAAGGCCCATTACACATGGGTTTGTTGGTGCATTACATTCAGGCGGTTGAGGTGTGTTTTTAACTCACCTCAGCCGTTTGTGAAACCAAGTAGTAGCTGCCAGACAGACCCATACACATTGTCACATCTGCAAACCTGTGCTTCATGGCACTACAAAAAAAAAAAACAGGGCGTGTCACATTCAACAGGCAATACTGCTTGGCATCATTCCCCATATTGGTTAATGGGACTGTGCTGCAACTGCGTCCAGGGGACATGATTATTTTCATGTAAAATCCCTCTATAGAAAGGCATGGGAGAGGTAGTATATCCCCTACCAATTGCCTTCTACCAGCAGGCCAGCTGCTGACCACGTGATCCACTGCGGATGGCCAGCAGCTAGGCCAATGTGAAAGGGGCTTTAGAGAAGAACTTCACGCATGTCCACTAAAAATCGTTTAGTAATACCACTTAACTTTACAGCTTGTTCACAGTGTATGGTTACTGGTGTTTTTCTGAACTGGATAATGAATTGTTACTTTTGTCGCCTATTCACCACAGCATTGGGTGTGATATGTGGTTTAGTGTGGAAAAATTCAGACATACTGCATTTTTACTTAGCACACTGGATGACACCTCACGCCACTGCAGTGCAATGCAATACACTGCTGTGTGGAGGCATGAATGAAGTGTCATTTTGTGCACTCCATATAACGCAGTATTCTCCAAACTGCTGCCCTTTGCTTGCTTTTATCTGGCCCTTGGGGCACTGTTTCATCCACGGATACCAACAGTGGGGCATAATTCCCCCCCACTGACACCAATGATGTGGCACACTTCCTCCCAATGACACCAACAATGGGCCCCACTGACACAAATAATAGGACATAATTCCCCCTACTGTCACAAATGGTGGGATGGTATTCCTCCATATGACACCAATTATGGGGCATAATTCCTCCCAATAACGCCAACGATGGGTCACAATTTCTCCCAATGACATCAACAATGGGGCCCAATGACACTGCTGATGGGGCACAATTCCTCTCACTGACACCAGTGATGTGGCACAATTCCTCCCACTGACACCAAAGATGGGGCATTGTTTTTGCTCCACTGACATCAGGACCTTTTCTACTCTTAAAGGTCACAGTCCCGCCCTCCTAAAGTCTGAAGGACAGTAAACTGGCCCTTTGTCTAGAACGTTTGGAGACTCCTGATATAAAGATAATTTCCAGGCATGGCATATTTTTACATTGGTGTAGTTTGGACCAAGGTAACTAGGTATATACCATATCTGGCTGATGCCCCTGGAAGCTGGAAATCACTCTAGTAGATTTCATTGATCTATCTCCCCTTGCTTCCGGGTCCCATGCTGAGCTGCCAGCCTGTCACTTTGTGAACACAGGGGGTTGCCCATTTGGCATATGTGCCATTCAGACAATACTTTGCATTTTCTGAATGAATACAAAGCATTCCCTGAATGGACAGTGTGGAGAAGTGGGGCAGTGATGAACAATCAGAGAAAAACTTTGCAAAGCATTGTTTGAATGGCGCACATGCTGAGTAGCCGACCTCCTTCATTCACAACTCTGAAGAGTAGTTCCTCAGCGCAGGACCCAGAAGCAAGTGGAAATCACTGCGGTGGCAGTGTCGGCTAAAGTGATTTCCAGCTTTCAGGGTGATCGGCCAAGTATGGTGCATATATAGTTGCATTGGTCCAAGCTGAAGCGGTGTAACTATGTTAAAAAATAGACCATACCTAGAATTATTCTTTTAAAAAGTGAGATGCGCTGAAATGTGTATCATTCCATTTCCTCACCACAGTTGGCTGCAGGGGAAAACTGCAGCTTCCTGTACGCTAAGCCCGGGTTCACATTGATGCAGTGCGGCACATTGCATGTGATTCGCACAGGAACCGCACCGAATTCCTGTGCAAATCTCATGCGAATTCTGTGCGGTGCAATTTGAGCCATACATTTTGTATCATTCCACTTCCTCATCATACTTGGCTGCAGGGAAAAACTGCAGCTTCCTGTACGGGTTCACACTGATGCGGTGTGGCACGTCGCATGTGATTCGCACATGAACCATACCGCATGCCTGTGCAAATCACATGCATTTTCTGTGCGGTGCGATTTGAGCCATACATTTTGTATGACTCAAATCGCACCACATCCGCACCAAAAAAGTGCAGGACCCTTTT